GATGCCGAACACCACGAAAAATTTCTGTGATCCCCCCTCTACGCAACGAGCGGCTCTGAGTACCCATATTTTGTTTAGTACAATTATAAACTTATAAGTTTATAATTGTACTAAACAAAATATGGGTACTCAGGTGTTCGGCATCATCGACAAGTCCGGCATTGGATACAACACTCTTTTAGGCCCCGGTGTGTCAATGATTGCGACTACAGCCGTCTACACCCGCTATACAGACCGGCTCAAAACGATATTGCCTTACTCCACATGCCACAGGATATTCCGTTTTCCGGTAAATATGTTTAAATTACTATTCCTCCTTCTTCCTTCACACTAAGAGTCACTAATGCCTTGCCACATGAATTTCGGTATATGTAGGATAGATACATATTTTCCATGTATGTATATTCAACATATAGAAATGTGTTGATACGTGCGCAAAATTATGTGGGAAGGCATCAGTGATTCCTAGTGTACACAGCTCTTTTTGCAATCTTTGAGATGTACTACAAAAATATCACAAATTGACACGTTCCGCTACGTGTTTCGGTTCCGAGTCGGCACAAAGTTTTACGATATTTAAAATACGTGCGACTCATGTCAGATCTGTGTTACATAAAAGTTGTCGTTATTTTTTATGGCGGTGACTTTACACCTCACAAAAGCTGAGTATACATTTCATTAGTAAAATCACTAGTAAAATTCACTAGTAAAATTTGCAAAAATTTTGCGTGACGCCGCGTTGTCCCACGATTACATAATTTTCCAAATAAATTTAAGACAAAATTCTCTCCGTGTACAAATTTGTTACAATATAAATACGAAATTATTGATTGAACATATTATAAATTATATATGATATATGATATATGATAATGAATGAGATGATACATGATAATGAATATACACGTATAAGTAGAATATTTTAACGCGCAATGTGAATCACCTCGTTTAAAGTAGCTTTAATAAATAATATTTGACGGGGTCTTTCCTTTCGTCTAGTTAGTAATTAATATTTTATTTTTAGGGCGACAGTGGTGGACCTCTCATTGTAGTAGATGAAAATGGCATAGACCGTCAAGTGGGCATTGTGAGTTACGGAAACGCACGTTGCCCTAGCGACGCACCTGGAGTCTTCACAAGGATTTCTGAATACAAGCACTGGATTAACCAGGTGGTTAATGACTTTCTATCTGATACCTAGTATTCTTCATTAGGTGTCAGACAGAAACTCAGTAACCACCTGGCATCCTCCCCCCAACTGACCACAAAAGCGTCTCTTCCCGTAAAGTGTTCGTCCCGATTATATGCGAGTTTTATTGGCCCAATTGTGTCTGAAGTAGAGAAATATTATAATATGTTCAATCAATAATGTGCGCATGGTAATACTTCATTAGGTATCAGATAGAAACTCATTAACCGTATTTTGTAGAAAAGTTACGAAAATGTATTGAAGAAAATAAAAGAAACGAACAGGCGTAGAAAAAATACACCTAAAAAATATCCTTGCCCATCTAATCGGATAATCAATTACATATTAACAAACGGGTATATTCCATTAAATTTTATATCCGATAAAAAATATCATCGATTCTTTTATTCAATTTCATCGGTAACTGCAATTTCATGGGATAAATTATCGGAAAAATTAATAAAAAAAACCGATGGTTAATTTTCCATCGGAAACACTACTTAATTGACTTATCCAATGGAATTTTTTCTCAACGTAGTGCGTAATTTCATAGTATCGTGTGAACGATAATTTAAATTTTAAATGTATCTATAAAACTCACTTATGACCGAGACCGAGATATTTATTCGTCTTAACACAAACGGCTAGTTCATATTACACAATAACTAAATGGATTTTTGGATATTACCCGAGAAAAGCTGTAAAATTAAATTAAAATAGAATTGAGATATATATATATACATATAAAGAGAAATTAAAAAAGATATGGAACATGAATGACATTTAAAAAAACGTGGTTCAAGAGAAGGGTGGCCCGAGCGAAGCCGGGTATAGCCGCTGGTTTATTATAATTTCATTTTATTGAAAAGGACCATCTCGGCTGATCGAAACGTCTGACGTTGAAATAGACATATATTCATATAGTCACGTACGGACGAAATTCCAGTAATGTTTTTATCTTAGAGTTCTCTTTCCACTAAAGATGGAAAGTTCTGTTTCTTCGAACCCTCGGGTAGAGTTGCTCTGTTTACTGATAAAATTCCAGTGGGCCATGTAGCCAAAGAGCACTGAATTCCGGGCCCAGATGATACAAACTCTGAGATATCCTTTCTATCTTCTACTAGATTAAGTCCCAAATGGGTGGGAAGCCCCAGGAGGGGAGGGTCTCGTCATTTCGGGGTACAAATAGAAGCTCTAAACGCTGTAGGCAGCAATTAAAACTTAGTATTCACTATTCAGCATTAGACTCTTCAGGCGTAAAATTCTTGTTCTGTTCGGACTCAGAAATTGATGATCATCTTGCAACTTAGAGACACGAATAAAAGGTAAGCCACTGTAACCGGAACTGATGTACTAGTGACACGGTCTAAGATATTTCTTCTAAAGTATCTTTCTATAAAGATGTATAACATTAAAATAAATTAATTTTCCTGTCACAATTATATTGTAATTATGCAGGTCTTTGAAATTTACATTATAAAAATAGATTTGTTAAGTTGAAAATTACAACTAAGTTATACGCGTCTGCTTGAATTTCTGTAATTTTTAATAGAATTTCTGCAAAAGTTATTTTGTTTAAAAATTAAAATTATTATCAGTAGACTTGAAAAGAATACATATACTTATATACGTACTACATACGTACATACACACAAAGAAATGCTGTTGAATTAAAGAAGTTGCTTGAATAAAACGTTAACGTCACGGGCTGCCACCGGTTTCTTGATACAACATTATTTTCTTGCCGTGTACATACGTGCACACACATACGTCAATAATCTCGTTAGTCATTTTCATTGTTGCCTGAATATTGCGACTACATAAATGGGAAATTTGCAGGAGCGGCGCGCGGAACAGTCTACCATGAATGTGAAAAGTGTGAAGATACTTTTGTGCCTTGTAATCAGCTTGACAGTATGTCAGTATGCTTGCAGTCATCGAGGGTCACTGTATCTTACCCCGGACGTCTACATCTCCCCCTCCCCCTCCCCCTTACTACCGTGGTTCCGCATAAGCGACACATCTTCCGGCAATCCCGTGCATACACGTGGTAAGGAAAAAGAAAAATTCAACAAGCGTTAATCAATTTTTCAACTCATACAGTTTGATAATTGTTTTATAAGTTAATGGTCTAGTAAATATAATATATACACGTCTGTGGTAGTACATAACATTTTTGTCGAAGCGACGAATATCGTCGCTTACTGTTTTCGCCATACTGACATTTGTCCTCAACGACAGCCGACATGACTAAAATAGCGGGCGGAAAAGATGCGTCGCTCGGAGAATTTCCGTACATGGCAGTGGTGCATCAACTCATGGGCTACGGAAAAATTGGGCAATGCGGCGGTACAATCATAAACAAAAGATGGGTACTCACAGCCGCTCATTGCGTACAGGAGGGGCCACAGAAATTTTTCGTGGTGTTCGGCATCATCGACAAGTCCGGCATTGGATACAACACTCTTTTAGGCCCCGGTGTGTCAATGATTGCGACTACAGCCGTCGTACACCCGCTATACAGACTGGCTCAAAACGATATTGCCTTACTCCATATGCCACAGGATATTCCCTTTTCCGGTAAATATATTTAAATTACTATTCCTGCTTCTTCCTTCTCTTGATGCGCTTTATTCATATGGCGACGTTATTTAATTATTCTATGGAAAAGACGCGGAGAATTAATAACGATATGAATAACAAATAGTCTCATAAATGTGGAAAACTCAATAATGGAAAATAGTATTGTTTATCTGTATACTAGGAATCACTGATGCCTTGCCATATGAATTTCGGTACATGTAGGATAGATACACATTTTCCATGTATGTATATTCAAAATATAGAAATGTGTTGATACGTGCGCGAAATCATGTGGGAAGGCATCAGTGATTCCTAGTGTACACAGCTCCTTTTGCAATCTTTGAGATGAACTACAAAAATATCACAAATTGACACGTTCCGCTAGGTGTTTCGGTTTCGAGTCGGCACAAAGTTTTACGATATTTAAAATACGTGCGACTCATGTCAGATCTGTGTTACATAAAAGTTGTCGTTATTTTTTATGGCGGTGACTTTACACCTCACAAAAGCTGAGTATACATTTCACTAGTAAAATCATAAAATTTGCAAAAATTCTGCGTGACGCCGCGTTGTCCTACGATTACTAATTTTCCAAATAAATTTAAGACAAAATTCTCTCCGTGTACAAATTTGTTACAATATAAATACGAAATTATTGATTGAACATATAATATTTCTCTATTTCAGACACAATTGGGCCAATAAAACTCGCATATAATCGGGACGAACACTTTACGGGAAGAGACGCTTTTGTGGTCGGTTGGGGGAAGGATTACACTGGCTCAACTACGAGAAAACTCAAGTACGCCACATTGCCGATTATAGACAACAGGAAATGCAAACAATACTGGAACATCGACAACGCGCACGTTTGTACGGCCGCAGGACTGGGGCGAGACGCTTGTCAGGTAAAATATTATAATAAGGCTGCAGTTTTAGTCAAAATTATTAGGCACCTTCATAATCATATACTGTACTGAATCTAATATCAGGGAAGGCTTTTATTGTTACAGTGAAAGTTGCTTACTACATAAAAGCAATGAACGCTCTTAAACAACTTTTAAACAATAGAAATCAGTCTGGTGTTAGATTTAGTACAGTATAACGATTATAAGGATGTCTAATAATTTTGGCCAAGGCTGTACAGTTTATTATAATATGCGACAAAATAAATTATATACACGTATAAGTATAAGGATATTTTAACGCGCAATGGGAATCACCTCGTTTAAAGTAGCTTTAATAAATAAAATTTGACAGGGTCTCTCTTTTCGTCAAGTTAGTAATTAATATTTTATTTTTAGGGCGACAGTGGTGGACCTCTCATTGTAGTAGATGAAAATGGCATAGACCGTCAAGTGGGCATTGTGAGTTACGGAAACGCACGTTGCCCTAGCGACGTACCTGGAGTTTTCACAAGGATTTCTGAATACAAGAACTGGATTGACCACTGGATTGAGGTGATATCTCACTGAGAAACTTGTATGTGCGTATGGTAATGCTTCATTAGGTATCAGATAGAAACTCATTAACCGTATTTTGTATAATAGTTACGAAAATGTATTGAAGAAAATAAAAGAAACGAACAGGCGTGGAAAAAATACACCTAAAAAATATCCTTGCCCATCTAATCGGATAATCAATTACACATTAACAAACGGGTATATTCCATTAAATTTTATATCCGATGAAAAATATCATCGGTTCTTTTATTCAATTTTATCGGTAACTGCAATTTCATGGGATAAATTCCATCGAATATATCCATACTTTAATCGGAAAACTTAATAAAAAACACCGATGGTTAATTTTCCATCGGAAACACTACTTAATTGACTTATCCAATGGAATTTCTTCTCAACGCAGTGCGTACCCATACAGCACAAAAACCTTTCAGAAATATTTCAGAATATTTCATGTGATAGATTGAAACGTTTCATAAATATTGCAAAATGTTTCTGCAATAGCTCTGAGACAGCTATGAAACTGTAAAATGTCCGCGATTCTTACACTTGAAACTTTATAGAAAGGTTTCTGAAAAATTACTAAAAGCCGGTTTTTCCAAGTGTCAGGTAGCTTACCTCTGATAGTTAAAAAGCATATATAGTATGTGTTACGTATACTATACTTTTTAACCATCAGGTAAGCTACCTAACACTTAGAACAATCGGCCCTAAGAAATTTGCAGTTTTTCTGAAATATTGCTAAAAAGTTACTAAAATCTTTTTGAAATAATAATAATACTGAAGACTAATTGAAATATTTGTGTTAACGTTTTTTATAATATTTTGCGCAAGCTTATTAATAAGCTCTTATTAAAATAAATTTCAAATGCTTCAGAAATTTATTTTATCATATTAAGTTATTTTAAGTGTTTTTTAAATGTTTTTCCGCAACGGATGGTTCTTTATCGCAGGTTTTTTATCAACTCTGTTAGCTTTACATTAAGCGACTGCTTGTACCCGTACAGCACAAATTGTTACAGAAAGGTTTCAGAAAGATTTCAAAATTATTTCAATATTTTGAAATTTTAAAAGATAACGCAGTAGTCAATCATTGCTTTATTATACTTTTACAAAAGTTGTAAGTTGATTGGCTACCGTATCGTCTTTTGTCGCGCGGCAAGCATTTCAACGTTCCATATATGTATGTGACTCAAAAAGCGAGAAAAATCTTTCTGTAATATTCGCATTACTTTTTCAAATTTATTGCATATGATAGATTTCTGAAACATTTCTGTTGCATCATTTTATATGACATATTGCAGAATTCTGTCAGAAATGTTGAGTATGAAATGTGAAATATTGAAATAATTTTGGAATCTTTCTGAAACCTTTCTGTAACAATTTGTGCTGTATGGGTAATTTCATAGTATCGTGTGAACGATGATTTAAATGTATCTATAAAACTCGCTTATGACCGAGACCGAGACATTTATTCGTCTTAACACAAACGGCTAGTTCATATTATAACTAAATGGATTTTTGGATATTACCCGAGAAAAGCTGTAAAATTAAATTAAAATAGAATTGAGAGAGATATATAAAGAGAAATTAAAAAAGATATGGAACATGAATGACATGTAAAAAACGTGGTTTAAGAGAAGGGTGGCCCGAGCGAAGCCGGGTAAGGCCGCTGGTTTATTATAATTTCATATTATTGAAAAGGACCATCTCGGCTGATCGAAACGTCTGACGTTGAAATAGACACATATTCATATAGTCACGTACGGACGAAATTCCAGTAATGTTTTTATCTTAGAGTTCTCTTTCCACTAAAGATGGAAAGTTCTGTTTCTTCGAACCCTCAGGTAGAGTTGCTCTGTTTACTGATAAAATTCCAGTGGGCCATGTAGCCAAAGAGCACTGCATTCCGGGCCCAGATGACACAAACTCTGAGATATCCTTTCTATCTTCTACTAGATTAAGTCCCAAATGGTGGGAAGCCCCAGGAGGGGAGGGTCTTGTCATTTCGGGGTACAAATAGAAGCTCTAAACGCTGTAGGCAGCACTTTGGTATTCACTATTCAGCATTAGACTCTTCAGGCGTAAAATTCTTGTTCTGTTCGGACTTGGAAATTGATGATCATCTTGCAACTTAGAGACACGAATAAAAGGTAAGCCACTGTAACCGGAACTGATGTACTAGTGACACGGTCTAAGATATTTCTTCTAAAGTATTTTTCTATAAAGATGTATAACATTAAAATAAATTAATTTTCCTGTCACAATTATATTGTAATTATGCAGGTCTTTGAAATTTACATTATAAAAATAGATTTGATAAGTTGAAAAATACAACTAAGTTATACGCGTCTGCTTGAATTTCTGTAATTTTTAATAGAATTTCTGCAAAGGTTATTTTGTTTAAAATTTGTTTAAAAATTAAAATTATTATCAGTAGACTTGAAAAGAATACATATACTTATATACGTACTACATACGTACATACACACAAAGAAATGCTGTTGAATTAAAGAAGTTGCTTGAATAAAACGTTAACGTCACGGGCTGCCACCGGTTTCTTGATACAACATTATTTTCTTGCCGTGTACATACGTGCACACACATACGTCAATAATCTCGTTAGTCATTGTCATTGTTGCCTGAATATCGCGACTACATAAATGGGAAATTTGCAGGAGCGGCGCGCGGAACAGTCTACCATGAATGTGAAAAGTGTGAAGATACTTTTGTGCCTTGTAATCAGCTTGACAGTATGTCAGTATGCTTGCAGTCATCGAGGGTCACTGTATCTTACCCCGGACGTCAACATCTCCCCCTCCCCCTCCCCCTTACTACCGTGGTTCCACAGAAGCGACACATCTTCCGGCAATCCCGTGCATACACGTGGTGAGGAAAAAGAAAAATTCAACAAGCGTTAATCAATTGTTCAACTCATACAGTTTGATAATTGTTTTATAAGTTAGCGGTCTAGTAAATATAATATATAGAAGTCTGTGGTAGTACATAACATTTTTATCGAAGCGACGAATATCGTCGCTTACTGTTTTTCGCCACACTGACGTATGTTTTGAACCACGGACAAAGACTGGAGTAAAATAGCGGACGGAACAGATGCGCCGCTCGGAAGGTTTCCATACATGGCAGTGGTGCACCATTTCCTGGGTCATGGAGTAGTCGGGCAATGCAGCGGTACAATTATAAACAAAAGATGGGTTCTCACAGCCGCCCATTGCGCAGTAAACCACCCGCGAAGATTTCTCGTAGTGTTCGGCATCATCAACAAGTCCGGCATTAAATACGATACTTGCGAAGGCGGTGTGTCAATGATTACGAATGAAGCGTTCATACACCCGGAATACGAATCCGATCACAACAATATTGCCTTACTCTACATGCCACAGGATATTCCCTTTTCCGGTAAATGTATTTAAATTAATATTCCTTATCCTTCCTTCTTTTGCGCTTATTTATACGTCAGCGATATTTAATTATTTTATGCTATTTCAACTATTCTATCTGCATCCAAGATTTTCAAGTAATACTAATCAATTCCCTCAATTAGTTCTGTCGATATTCAGTAACGCAAAGATAATTTTCACTTAAGAGGCACTAACCGAAATGTTATGTTGCTTAACTATGAAAGAAACGGTCAAAATTTTTCGCAGTGTAGAGTTACGAAAAATCCAAATAATTCGATTACTAATTGTGGGCCCCAAAATGGGTTGCTATCGGTCTTTATTTTTCCCAGAGTATGTCTCAATATCAGTTTTAGAAAATTATTAGTTAAATACAGTATTTCTCTATTTCAGGCACCATTCAGCCCGTAGAACTCTGTAATAACCAGAGGGATCCTTTTATTGGTAAAAACGCTTTAGTGGTCGGTTGGGGAACAGATGGTATGACTAGCCAAGGTTTGACAAAACTCAAGTACACCACATTGCCGATTATAAACACCAATGCGTGCCAGCCATACTGGCATATCGACGAACGGCACGTTTGTACGGCCGCAGGACTGGGACGAGATACTTGTCAGGTAAAATAACAAAGCTATAGCTTTAGTCAAAATTATTAAATACCCTCCTAATTATATACTGTACTGTATCTAATATCAAGAAAGGCTTTTATTGTTCCTAATCAAGAATGGAAATGTAATATAACATGGGTGTTCTATTACATTTATCTTCTTGAGTAGGAAATTGGAATATTGAGTTACGTAACTGTTACTTGGCATTTACTGGAATGTTAAAAAATACAACTTTAACATTTTTTCTTTATTTCATTTTATCGACGACCGGGTCTGAAATTCCGCGTACTGATAGATAAAGTTTACAACTACAACATACTTAAATTTCCATTTTTTTCTACTTTTGGTCGGTTTATGCAGGAGCCTCCTTAATCATAGATTCTTTAGAAAATTTCGTAACGAAAATTCTGATGCAAAAATGTCGAGGCTATAATAATTTATAAATAATAAGCGATTATATTTCACAAATAATAGGCCTGAGATTTGACAAGTGATAAAAGTGTTCCTAGGAAAGTCGCCCTTTTTATTTAATTCAAGTAAAAATTGGCAACATGTTGTAACCTCAAAGTGTTGCAGCTATGAAAGTGGTCGATCAATATCAGTTACAATGAAGGTTGTTACTATGCTAAAAAGGGCGACATTCATAGGAAGACTTTTATCATAGTAGGTCCACTCTCTTTCGGCCCCTTTGATCTTTATCACTTGTCATGTCGCCGTACCTGAGCACGCGAAATCTCAGGTCTATTATTTGTGAAATATAATCGCTTATTATTTCACAAATATTATAGCCTTGGCATTTCTGTATTAGAATTTTTGTCTTAAAATTTTCTAACAAAACTATGATTAAAAATATGTCCGGTGGTTTTAGTGCACCCTGTATAAAAGCAATGAGCTCTCTTAAACAACTTTTAAACAATAGAAATCTTTCTGGTATTAGATTTAGTACAGTATAGTGATGATAAGGATGCTTAATAATTGTGGCTAAGGCTGTATAGTTTATAACAATACGCTACAAAATAAATTATGTACTAGTATATAAACTATGTAATA